ACACAGACTCGCGCGCGCGCAGGGAGCAGGACGTCAACCTCTCCACAAGTCCACGGACAACCATGGAGTACGTGTAGCAGTCTAACTGCGGAGAAAAACACGTTCCCGCCGTCCGGACTTCCACCAAGGGACTCTCGCATCCGATAAGTTCCCTTTTTGACTTGCTCCCATTTCACATTGTATTTATTTTTATACGTGTCGCAGAAATACTCAAAGCTTTTATTAGTGCACATTCACCTTCTGATTTGTATTATGGCTATCAGCTACTGTGCACTAACAGGCCGTCCATAAACCGAAGCATGTCAGTGGGATGATGGCATGGCACTGTCATACCCAGTTAGATGGTACTCCCGCAACTATTTTCTTCAGAATCTTGACCGCAACCGCTCGCCTACTCAAGCCTGTAGCCACAACTTCGAGCAGTTCTCATCCGGCTCCGTCTCTGGGATGAGCTCTTCCGTACCCAATGAATTGTCGCTCAGATTTGGCTAGCCTGGCTTTTCTGCTGCAAGTTCGGCTTGCCCCTTGCACAAGTTCAAATCCGTATACGGAGTTCGGGTCGCCCTATGAATTAGCAACTTGCCCCCATCCAACCTATTCCCCTGCACCTGACTTCCCTACAACAGTGCAACCAGTGAGTCTGCTTACTTTCAGATTAAACCACATTTTTGAGACAAAACTTGCCATGTGCTCCCAATTTGAATTATCCCATCTCCACCTCCACTTTTGCTCGTTGTGACTCCGGCCATTTACCTAACCACCCAAGGCCACTCATGGCCAGCAATCATTTTCAGTTTTAGTTCATGCCACCTGACTGTCTTTGAACTAGTCGGACCTCATGCCCATTGTTCCCAACAAGTTGGGAAATAACGTATTATTACTATATATTCGGGTATTCCCCACTGTTTATGATATTGTCCTCTTTTTGTGCAATCCTCACCCCCACAAATCCCCCAGTCATGCTCCATTCTGACTGTAAAATGATGATCATGCCAGACGGTATGCCACCCACAAGTTGGGAATAAACCCTATTATTATTATTAATAACCCATGAATGCCTGGTCAAAGGTCCATCAACCAAGTTCATCCTGGCTATTAATGCCACAGATGACTCGCAGTATGCCTTACTGTTTCAAAGACAGGAGGCCCGCTGGCTGCGGGCTCCACTTCTTCACGACCACACACCAGCCTACGACGCTGGATACTCCACTGTAACAGTTTACCTGGAAATTCAAGAAACCTTTATCCATGCCCCTCATGCGTCTCTGCTAAACAATCTTAGTACCGTTGGCATCACCAGAACCTTATTGCAGTGGTATGACTCCAACTAATCAGGCAGAACGCAAGTAGCGCAAATCGGGGACATACAGTCATCTCCACTGTCGATTACCAGTGGAGTCACTCAAGGAAGCGTGCTAGGCGCCATTCTTTTCTTACTGTACATCAATGACGTCTTCGGCGCCATATTCCATATTAAGGTTTTCCTCTTTGCGGGGACCATTGGAATCGCGTACACATTTCTCCTTCGCATAAGCCCGTGCCTTTCACCGGATTG